CCCACACCCCACACCCCTGCCGCCCCACACCACCACCACCATTTTTAAATGATCATTTCCCAAACAGACAGACCCTACAGCACTTAGCAGGTCCTAGACTTCATGTGAACAATTTTTGACATTATCATTGGCCAGTAAGAGCATACAAAGTCCTCGCCCCTCCCACCGCTCCCCCATCTCCTGACAAGGATGCATACAGAGTCTCTTTCCTTCCTAGTTACTGTGATTGTTCCAAGGTGTCCTTTTTTCCTCATAGAGTGCTCATTTGTTTTCTTCTAGTAATTCAGGAGTCTCCAGGAGAAGGAGCCAGATGGTCCATCATAAGCTTGACAGGCATCTCCTACAAGGATGCTGGAGATTACAGATGTAAAGCCAAAAATCTAGCTGGGACGTCAGAAGCTGTGGTTTCTTTGACCGTTGTTGGCGCCGTTACGACCACACTATTACCAGACACTTCAGAAAAAAGCCCTGGAAAGCACCCTGAGCAGGAGTCCCCGCCTGCAGCCGCAGGAGGATCAACCCCTCTACCTAAGTCGGGGCTGTCACCAGGCCTCTCTTCCTCGTCTTCCTATTCCACGCCCTCAACTACATCCCCACCATCCCCACCATCGCCTCCTGCTTCCTTCTCTTTGCCTCCTGCCTTCTCTGTTGCTTCTGCAACCACAACTGTAAAATCCAGAGGCTCAGAAAGCACCGTCAGGTCGAGCCACGGGCCACTCGTGCTCCACTTCGGTGGAAAAAGCCATGCAGAGCTGGAGAAGAGCGGAAGTAAGTTTCCTCCCGTCAGCGCGAGTAAGAAAGAGGACTTGGCACTGTTGGATCAGGCGCTGCCGATGGAAACAAATGTCACTATACACAATCTCAGGGTGGCCAGTGAAACTGGAGCGAGTGTGACTTTGACGTGGAACATCAGCAGCGCCACACAGGGGTCTGCTGTGACTGTGTTGTATTCTAAGTACGGAGAGAAGGACCTGCGGCTGCTGAACGCAGACTACGGCAAGAACCAGGCAACCATAGATGGCCTGGAGCCCGGCACTCAGTATGTGGCATGCGTCTGTCCAAAAGGAGTGGCTCCCCGCAAGGACCAGTGTATCATCTTTGCTACCAACAGAGAGGAAGAACGTGACTCACAGTGGTCATTCCTTATCGTGGTGACCAGCACGGCCTTTGTTATGGAAATGCCCTTAATTTGTTTTTTATTATATAAAGTCTGCAAACTGCAATGTACATCAGACCCTTTGTGGGAAGATGATTTGGCAAAAGAGACCTATATCCAGTTTGAGACCCTGTCGCCCAGATCACAAAGTATAGGAGAGCTGTGGACGCGGAGGCACAAAGAAGACGCAGAGAAACTGTGGTTGTGCCCTCGGGCAAGCGTGGACTCTGAGGGGAATTTTAAAAGCGATGGCTGTAGACCAGAATATTATTGCTGAGGTTTTGCAGGTGAGATGAATGTAAGCGAAGAAGAGAGGGATCTAAGGCTGTAGAAGACCCTCTGTTGGATGACTTTTGGACAGACCTTCATATAGTCTGTGAGAATCAAAAATGATTTTTTGCAGTATTTTTTTAATTTAGTGAGAAACATCTCAGCTAGAACAACAAATGACCTTGATTTTTATTACACGAAAAGACATCTATACAAATATTTTTGAGTGCTATTTAATAAGCTTATAATGATTTTAGGGCAATTTAGTTCGTAGAATACGTCAACAGGAAAATACTTACACTAGGTAAACTTGGCATTTAAAAAAGTGCATTTTGAGCAGTGAAGAAATACTAGTATAACCAGCTAAGGCTGGCAGCCCTGGATGTTCCAAGTGCTTCAGAAGGTTTGCTGTGGGCATTTGCCGCTGCTGCCTGGTGAGTGAATGTGAGATCCTAATGGATTTTGTGTTCACAGTTAGTTTTTTCTTTCTCATCCTTTCTCATCTGAAGTCAGACATTCGTCAAACTAAGTACAAAAAGAGGATCAGAACAAACACAATATTTCTGTAGAATAGTGGTTGTGTTTTTAACACAGTTGATAGACTGTATGGGTCTCATGATGTGTTAATTTAAGAACAATCTCCTTTGTTTCTTTTCGCTGTCTTCCTTAGCTTTCCTTTCTTCGTCTTCTAAAACCTCTCTTTGAAGGCACAGAGATGCACAGCCGCCAAAGGACTCTGAGCTCAGCTGTCTCTGCCTCCTTGTATTTTTATTTTCTGGCTAGAAGGGAGGCCTTTGAAGTTTCTTTGTTGTTGTTCAGGCACAGTGGTTTGCTCCTTTATTTATTTATTTTTTCATTTTTATGAGGGTTGGTATTTTCCCTGAACGTATGTCTGGAGACCTCATGTGTGCCCATTGCCCTCAAAGGACAGAAGTGGGCATCGGGTTCACATGGGCCAGAAATTAAACAACTCATTTATTACTTCATGATGAATAGGTCAAAAAAGAAGTCAAGAAATAAACAAAAAATAAGCAATCAGGAGGAGCACTCTCAAACTCCTTTTATACGGCCAGTTTCATGCTAACACCAAAGCCGGTAAAGACAACAAAAGAAAGAAGCTTGGAGGTAAGAAAGCTAGCAAGAAATCAAGTGAGCGATAAAGAAAAGGAGGCCAGTAGCCCTGTGAGCATAGACTCAAAAATACTCAGTGAAATCAGACATTCATCAAAAAGACTATCCGCCATGACTGAGTTGGCTTTATCCTAGAGATGCAGGGGTAGTTCAACAGACGCAAGTCAATAAATGTAGCTGTCTTAGTCAGGGTTTCCATTGCTGTAATGGAACACCATCAGCAAGGCAACTTGGGGAGAAAGGGATTTATTTGACTTATGCTTCCACATCACAGTTCATCATTGAAGGAAGTCGGGACAGGAACTCAAATAGGGCAGGAACCTGGAGGCAGGAGCTGACACAGAGGCCGTGGAGGGGTGCTGCTTATTGGCTTGCTCCCCATGGTTTGTTTAGCCTGCTTTCTTACAGAACCCAGGGACACCAGCCCAGGGATGGTGCATAAGCATTCCACACAATCACTAACTAAGAAAATGTCCTGCAGTCTGGCCTACAGTTCAGTCTTACAGAGGCATTTTCTGAATCCAGGCTCCTTTCTCTCTGATGATGCTAGCTGGTGTCAAGTTGACAGAAAACTAGCCAGCACAGTAATGAACCACATAAATGGATGGAAAGACAGTGTCCTAAAAGGGCATTTTAAGTTCCGATAAAATATATTTTGTATAAGACACATGTTGGCTTTTAATGTACTACATCCTAGAAATTATAAGTAGCTGGAGAATTGTTATTAATTCTAAGCATCTCCCTGTTAAAAAGAAAAAAGAATTTTTGTCTAGACTCCAATACTTTCCTACACTTATAATTTCCTCATTTTCTTTCCCTCCTCTTGGCCTTTATCTTTCTCTTTGCCTTTCCCCTCCCTGTTCTGTATTTTCCCTTCCCTCTTCTCCACTCCCCTCCCCCTTTCTCTTCCCTTCTCTTCCCTTCCTTCCCATCCTATGTATTCTTGGTGCTCTCACCACTGAGTGCATTGTCTAACGATCTAAAGTTTTTGGTTTGGTATTCATTGTCAGGACTTTAAAAATAATTTTTATAAATAATTTTGTCTAACTTAAACCTGTTAGATTAACTTATTTTAAATTAAAAGTTTAATAAAATTTTATTTATTTACTATGATATAGGTGTCGTTCAATTATGTCATCATGATTTTTAGAAGGTTCAGATAAATACTAAATTATTCACACTGCATTAGCAATTCTGTTACTGTGGGAGAACGTTACAGATTTCTGAGCCCACCAGTAGATATGGAGAGGTGCCCACATTAGGCAAAGGTAATTTGTCAAGACAGGAGGCCTGGAACATCATGCCCCAGACATGCACACACATACACACACACACACACACTGTACACAAGTAGAGATGCACGCCTGCACAGACACACACATGCACACACCACAGAAACAAAGAGAATGAATAATGCAAAGAAAAAATTTAAAGAAACAAAGCCAATCAATTTTACTGACGTGTTTATTCATAATAGATTGTAAAATTGAGATTTAGATACATCTAAATGGTAATAGCTAATTTCTTATGGATAAAGGATACACTATGAATTATGAATCGATTCACAATTCCAAAAATCAAGTGTATCATCAAGTGTCTTTCTGAATAAGTAACTGAGTAAATAAAGTAATATTTTATGATTGTTATTTTTCTTTTGAGACAAATTTTCCTTTTATATGCCAGGGTGACCTTGAACTCACAATCCTCCTGCATCGGCAGCAGCCTTCTGAGTACCAGGATTACAAGAAATACTGCTACAGCCAACAAACAGACTCCAGGCTTAATCCCACTAGCAGAGTCACAGTATCATGAATGAAAAGGATGTGACTGCAGTACTCCACCCTTCTGGGTACCATCTCAGTGACACAGCATGACCTCTTAAGGGCATGTCAAGCCCTGTGACACCTGGGTTAGATGGCAGCAGTCCATGAGCAACATGCTCAAGCCCTTCTGCCAAGTAGACTCAGGGTTTTGAACTAATCATCTCAAGTTTGCTCAGTCACCACGACACAGGCAGGACACAGGCGTCGCCCATGTGTAGGGTAAAGAAGATGCTGGGTCAGGAGCTCTAGTCCATTTCCCTCCAATGGAAGAATCAGCTAGCAGCTCCTCGCCTATGAGAATTCTAAAAACCCCAAAGCTGCCCAATGAGCCTGAGACACTAGCTTGGACCTCAGAATAAATTCAAAGCTCATTGAAAATGAGAGGGCAGTCAGACTTAAACTGCCCCACCCCTCCCTATCACCCAAGCTGGACAGCACCCCACAGATGGGCTGTGCCTGGGTCCATGATTTGGGCAGTAGGTAAAGACCACCAGAGGCATACCATACATCTAGTTCCTCTAGCATCCTGAGAGTCTGTCCAGAAAACAGTAATTTTTGTCTAGACTCCAATACTTTCCTACACTTGTAATTTCCTCATTTTCTTTCCCTCCTCTTTGCCTTTCTCTTTCTCTTTGCCTTTCCCCTCCCTGTTCTGTATTTTCCCTTCCCTCTTCTCCACTCCCCTCCCCCTTTCTCTTCCCTTCTCTTCCCTTCCTTCCCATCCTAGTATCCTTGGTGCTCTCACCACTGAGTGCATTGTCTAATGATCTAAAGCTTTTGGTTTGGTATTCATTGTCAGGACTTTAAAAATAATTTTTATAAATAATTTTGTCTAACTTAAACCTGTTAGATTAACTTATTTTAAATTAAAAGTTTAATAAAATTTTATTTATTTACTATGATATAGGTGTCGTTCAATTATGTCATCATGATTTTTAGAAGGTTCAGATAAATACTAAATTATTCACACTGCATTAGCAATTCTGTTACTGTGGGAGAACGTTACAGATTTCTGAGCCCACCAGTAGATATGGAGAGGTGCCCACATTAGGCATAGGTAATTTGTCAAGACAGGAGGCCTGGAACATCAGAGAAGATAAGTTACTGATTTCATTCTGTCATATCCTGCTTCTGGGCAACATCAGCGGGGTCCTGCCCAGCTTATTCGTCCACATTTGGAGAACAGCATGTGAATTAAGAAATGGCAGGTAGAAAAGTTAAAGATACAAAAGAAAAGACAGAGACATAGGATAGAGTTGGGAGGGCATCTGGTGAATACCAGGATCTATCCCAAGTTTATTATTCAAAGCCCTTATATAACCCAATCAAAAGCACAGAAAGGCAAAAGACTTCCTTACCAAGATACAAAGAACAAGCAAAGCATAATTACCTTCTTAATACCCCAAACATCAAGTAACAACGCCCTAAAGCTGATTCAAGGCAAAACACACAATAGCCATACGTTAGGCTAAATATCTTGTTGTTAAAGTAAGACATCCATTAGTTAGTTACTCCTTAGGCCAAATATCCTGTTGTCAAGGCAAGAACACAGTAGCCATACCTTAGATCATACATTCCCTTGTTTAACCTTGAGAGAGCAATAGTGGCTTTGAACTCTCTGACCTTAACTCGAGCTGATGAAGTGGAATCATTTTTATAGGCCCTGACAGCCTTCAAAATCCAGTCCAGCCTGGAGTTGAATTTGACCATCAAGGAAAGGCTAGTAGGGTCAGGATGCTGGCAGAAAGCCCTGTGTTATCCCTCAGCTCAGCTTTGGAACATGAGGCATGTTGCAAGTAATTCATGACTAAGTGAAGGCTGCAGCACTGTAAGTTGTCTACTTTAAAAGCACACACGTTGGAGGTCCAGTCAGAATACCCTAGTGTTGTAATTGCTACCCTGTTCTTTCAAGCACGCTAGCTCAGGTGGGGAGGATTGAAGTCAGACTGGGCAGCACGAAATGCACACAATTAATAGCTTAAGAGTTTTAATGGAGACACCGTGGTGAGCAAACCTAAGTGACACACAACCAATGGGTATGCTGATTGAAAATGACTATAGCAAAATGGTTCATCAAGTAAAGGCACTTGCTACCTGACTATGACACTCTGGTAACATGAATTTGATCACTGGAACCCGCACGCCTTTAATCCCAGCACTCGGGAGGCAGAGGCAGGCGGATCTCTGTGAGTTCGAGACCAGCCTGGTCTACAAGAGCTAGTTCCAGGACAGCCTCCAAAGCCACAGAGAAACCCTGTCTCAAAAAAAAAAAAAAAAAAAAAAAGAAGTGGGGAGGGAACTGACTGACTCAGTACAGTTGCCCTCTGATCATCACACATGTGCCACACATACGCTAAAATTATGTTTCCCTCAATGACTGTAATGTTTTACATTTAGGAAAAACATTTTATTGTTATCATGTGCTATACCATGAAACATATTGAATATCTAGATTCTCTTATGAAATTTGTATTTATTTCTGTTTTATGTGTATGAGTCTTTTGCCTGAGTTTATGTCTCTACAATACTTGTGCAGTGCCCCTGGAAACCACAAAGGGGCAACAGATGCCCTGGGAGTGAAGTTACAGACAGTGGGAGCCACCACATCAGCCCTGGGAATTGAGCCCTAGTTCTCAGAGAGAGCAGTCAGTGCTCTTAACTGCTTTAAATATCCAGATTCTTAAAATCTTCAAAAGAGGTAGCTCTGAGTAGAGTCAAGCAAGTATGTCCTGGAATTTGGAAAACATTTACAAAAGTTCAAAGAAAATAATAAACTGACCCCTGGACTTGGGTCTCAAACAGAGCATGAACGATAAGAAGATCGTTCTGCAGAGAAGAGTGTCTGCTTTACAAGTGTGAATTCCTGCAGTTAGGTCACCGGCATGTTGGGAAGCCAGGCAGGACTGTGTGTATGCCTGTGTAGACCTGTAACTCC